TGGCTGGGGCTAAGCCACGACAATAATATAAATAATAATGCAATGAATAATACTAATACTACTACTACCAACAATAACAACAATGCAATAAATCCTAATGATGCCGTAGAAGCTAAAAGACACCCAGGAGGAGGAGGGAGATGGGTTAACCCAGACCCCCTTTGCAGATGTGCTTTTACCGGCTGCACTAACACGCAATTCGAGTTTCCGAAAGAGAAAAGCAGCGTTGGGGAGAGAGGGAGCTGCCGGCACAGCCGTTAACCTGCGCTCCCCACGTTCCCTGTACCGGGGCAAGAGGCTGCAGAGCAAACCCCGCTGCTGGCTGCTGCGCGTTTTGCTCCTAAAAGAGTTAAATTTGAGTTTTTGCACCTTCCTGCCTTTGCTTGTCCCCCATCCCCTCCCCGAGTGCGAGGAAGAGGAGGGTGAGGGTGTCTTTGCCGCTACACTACCGCCCCAGGGATGTACTCACCTCGTGTAGGTTCAGCTCCTTCACCTTTTCCTTGAGTATAACCTGCAAGACAGAGCACCGGCGTCAGGACACAGCTTTTCCCAAGAGCGTTCGCAGCAAAAATCCCCGTTAATTGAGATCCCATTGAGCGTCCCAGCAGAACTGGAAACCGGCAGCAAACCCAGCGCAGCAAGTGTTCACCCCCACGCAGACGCGGGAGGAAGGCAGCGCTGGCACAGCTATAACCGCTAACACGAGGGCCAAATCCAGGAGGTCTCCTCCTGAATTTAAACCTCCTGGGCTCCTGCGCTGTGCAGCGAGCTCCCGCGTGGACGTCTGCCACTTCATTTTCACTCCATCCAGGCTAAACACCCGGAGAGGGCTGTAAATCTGGGACGACCACGTGTTATCATATCCTATCAGCCCAACTCCACCCAATTTCCTGCTCGGATACCAGATCGGAGGCAGAAAAAGTACAGAAGCCCTGGAGCAAACAGGACGCTGAAGCAGCAGCCTGACGCCGCTCTCTCGGCCGTGTTGATTTGAACGAAGGCGCTGGCGCGCGTGGGTGCATGTGGGAAACAGCTGGGTTTGCCAGGGTGATGTGGGGGTGTTCCCCACGACAGGTCCCTGCGAGAGCCCCGTGGCTGCGGCTGCTCCGCAGCAGCCGGGCACGAGCCGGGGAGCAGATTGGGACCCCACAAAACATCATTTGATTGCTAGGGAATCATCGAATCATCGAATCCTTTAGGTTGGAAAAGACCTTTAAGATCACCCAGTCCAACTCCACAACTAAACCAATTAAGGGGAGAGCAGCAACCCCACGCCTCCTGGCTTGGTGGCTGGATCATTTATAGAATGATAGAATTGTTTAGGTTGGAAAAGACCTTTAAGATCATCCAGTCCAACCATTAACCTACACTACCAAGTCTACTCTAAGCCAATCAAGGGTAGACCAGACTAAACCATGTCCCGAAGTGCCACATCTACCCGTTTTTTGAACACTTCCAGGGATGGGGACTCCACCACCTCTCTGGGCAGCCTGTTCCAATTCTTGACCACCCTTTCCGTAAAGAAATTTTTCCTAATTTCCAATCTAAACCTCCCCTGGCGCAGCTTAAGCCCATTTCGTCTCGTCCTATCACTAACTAATATATATAACTAATTATAATGAAGTAAAAACTAGGAATCTTTAAGGTTGGAAAGGATCTCTAAGATCACCAGTCCAACCATCAACCCAACACCCCCATGCCCACTAAACCATGTCCCCAAGTGCCACGTCTGCCCGTTTTTTGAACGCTTCCAGGGATGGTGACTCCACCACCTCCCTGGGCAGTCTCTTCCAATGCTTGACTACCCTTTCCGTGAAGAAATTTTTCCTAATATCCAACCTAAACCTGTCCTGGCGCAGCTTGAGCCCATTTCCTCTTGTCCTACCGCTTGTTCCTTGGGAGAAGAGACCAACACCCACCTCACTACACCCTCCTTTCAGGTAGTTGTAGACAGCGTTAAGGTCTCCCCTCAGCCTCCTCTTCTCCAGGCTGAACACCCCCAGCTCCCTCAGCCGCTCCCCATCAGCCCTGTGCTCCAGACCCTTCCCCAGCTCCATTGTTTTTTTTCGCTCCAGCACCTCAATGTCCTTCTTGGAGTGAGGGGCCCAAAACTGGATGCAGTATTCCAGGTACGGCCTCACCAGCGCCGAGTACAGGGGGAAGCGATGGCGTTACTGCTCACCAGCAGGAAATAAGGTGAGGGTTTGGAGAGGTTCCCCTGTTGAGGTGCTCCAGGGGTGGAGATGTCCCCACCGCTCCGGGACCTTGTCTGAAAACGCGGAGACCTGCAGACTAATGGGTGAGAGCTGCTCCTGGGGAGCCCAGCTGGCAGAAAAAAATTAAATCAGCGGGGACAGAGGTTTGCCCAGGCTTTACAACTTCTCTTCAAAGACCAAGAGCCTCCCAAGGAGAAGAACAGCGCAAGGAAACCTGACGGAGTGACTACTCCGGCACGGATTTGGCACTAAGCAGAAGGGAAGAGAACTCACTGTGTGTCTTCTCACCTGTTTGTAGGCATAAAGCTCTTTGTGTGCTTGGTGTCTGAGCCTGCAATCAAAACAGGGAGAAACGTAAAGACAGGCAAAAAAAATCAGGATTACTGTAATACCTCAAACATTTCATTTCCCTCCTTTCCAGATTTAATCTATTTTTTTTTTAATTTTTCATTTCAGAAATGAGAATGGCCACACGAAATGACGCATTTAAGCAACAGCCAGCTTTCTCTGTAGCTGGGCAGGCAACGTCTCCATCGAGAAGCACACAACCTCCTCCCCTTTTCCTCTTTCGACCTCCCCAATTTTCCACACAGACATCACCAGCACCGTTAAGACCACCAAAAGCTGTCGAGTAAATGGGGAGCTGCCGTAAATACCACCAGTTTCCAACCACTTCTGCTGCCAACGATTTCTAGACTGGACGCAGCCCCTTTTTCCAAGTGATGGGTATTCAGACCCGAGGAAAGCTCCGCTCCCGCTCGAGCGAGGACGGGGAAGGAGACCTCTCCACCCCGAGCTTTCCCACTGAAGCCCCCCTCATGCTGTGTGGGCGACGTTGGGTTCCTCAAACACAGCTTTATCTTCAATTCTAAGGGCAATCGTGCGGCTTCGGCCTCCCAAACTCTCAAGAAGAATCATTCAAAGCGGTCGTCCACCTGGCTGAGCAAGCAGGGGACGGCTATTTATCCGGAGACACCACCGGAGCAGAAAGCTTTGGAAGAGAAGCAATGCGATGTCTTCCATCTCTCACCTCCTATCACAGCGGGCAATTTAATAAAGCAGAGATAACAAGCTGCCAAAAAAACGCAGAAGAACGAACCGGTATCTTGGGATTTTGGGGGTTTTTATCAGGAGAGCAGGCGGGGTGGTACGTTCAAGCGCGGGGTGACAAGCCCACGCGATGACCCAGGGCTCTCCCTGCCCCAGGGAAGGAGCCGGGGCTGTAGCTGACGTGGCGGGGGAGCAAAATCAGGATTATAAGCTGTTTCCCCCCACCTACTTTTCAAAGCACTGTGCTCAGCACAATTTTGGGTTTTTTGGGTGGGTTTTTATTTCCTCAATAGCATCCATTCCTGGAGCAAATCAAGGGATGGAGGTGGAGGGGATGAATCTATTGCAAAAACACCTGCCGCGGTGGGGAGTCCAGCCGGTGGCAG